AAACGCAACCATCATATCCTATTTTAATTGCATCTAATTCAAATCATGACTAAGTTTCTAATAATCCTTCCAATCGAGCGTGCATTCATTCGCATAGCATCCACTCTGTGCCTAGCACAGTGAGGGACATAAAGACAAACCGGAAAGAGTTTCTGCCTTAAGGAGCTTATGCCTTGGTAGGGGCAATAAGACACGGGCCTAGATAATAAAAGACAAAAAACGTCAAGGTGACAGATGCTTCTGGAGAATCATGGGTTAAAAGCTGAGGGGTCCTAGAGGGGAGACAAGTTTACTTCCGGCTTGGTGGATTGAAAAACATTTCATAGAGGAGGTGGCATTTAGGCTGGCCTTTGAGAGATGAGCAGGATTTGGGGGTGGAGAAATTAGGGATGGAAGTAAAGAAGGTAGAGAGAAGACAAAGGGCTTCAAGCTAATATTTATCAAAATGTAACCTGAGGACAGCTGGTGTTAGAATCTGAGGCAGCTGCATTTGAGCTAGACCTTGAAGGACTGGTAGGACTTCCACAGGCAGGTATGGAGGAAAAGGATTGTCTGGTACAGTTTAGGCAGCCACGATGTCTCCTTTTCCTCCCAGTTCCTTATAAAATATCTCCTATTAATGTACCTCAAACTTGGGTGCCATATGGTTGGAATTAGATGCTCTGACCAATCAGAAACTGAAATTGGTGACTTTTCTACTGGTTTGCTTGGGTTTCAGACATTTGTAACGGGTCCAATTGAAGTGCACACTAAACTCAGATGTAAAACCATCACTCCAGGTTGTCCCCGGTCATCTGCATGGTCTGGAGAATGGTTTCTCAAAATGGTGGTCCATAGGCCACCATTCTGCAATGGAATAAGAGAGGCGGTCTGTTTCACTGCAGGTTTCTCAGCCCCAACACAAAGCTGCTAAATCAGAACCCCTGCAGGTGGTCCAGGGATCTGGATTTCAACATGTTCGTCAGGTGATACTGAAGCATATTAAAGTCTGAGAAACACTGAGAGGGAGAAGAGAGAACAAAGGTACAAAGAAAGGTAAGGGAGCATAGGAAAAATGTAAATGGAACCTGAGGTACACGAATGGGAGAATATGGACACACAAAGGTAAATCGAGGATAGACCATGGAAAGCTTCCCTGTTAGAGTCAGGGGGTTGACATGTAGTCTCTTGGCAACAGGAAGCCACCCCTTCTAGTGGCAGAGTGTCAATGTTAAGAGTCTGTAGTCTAGAGCCAGGCAGACAGGACTTAAATCTTAGCTCCTCAACTCACTAGCTACCTGACCGTGGACGAGATTCTTAACTTCGCTCTGTCTCAGTTTTCTCATCTATAAAATGGGGATAATAAGAGTACTCACCACATAGTTTTGTGATGAGATTAAATGACTTTAAAATTATAAAATGTCTAGAACTTGCTAAGTATATGTGTTTGTATAAGAACTTTTGAACAGGAGGTGTGGCAAATATAAGGCTATCTTTTGGGAAGATTAAGATGGCAGTAATGTATAAGAACTACCTGCCTGTCCCCCATCAGAAAATTCTGTAATTCTTTTCCTCTTACTTAGTACTCAGTGCTTCTCAACATTGGCTACATATCACCTCCTCCTCCTGGTCCAGTATAAATCTACCAAGCTAATTCTAATATGCACTCATGGCTGAGAACAAATGCTCTAAATGTATTTCAAATTTGTCCACTTTCCATTATTAAGCCCCCAATATATGTAAGACATTGTGCTAGGTCTTTTTCTCATTTAAGCCTCACAACCATTCTGGAGGCAGGAGCTAACATTATCCTCACTTTAAAGATTATTAGAACAGTTGAGTAAGGTCATGCAGCCAGAGAATAGCAGGGGTGAGATTAGAACTGAGGCAGTTTGACTCCAAAGACCAATTTGAAACACTCCTCTGCACTGTCCCAGCCCAAGCACCTGTCCTCTCACACTAGGGAGGTTGCTATATCAACCCTCTTTCTGGTCTTCTCTCCTATCGCATTACCACCTCCCTCCAGACTAGTCTGGAAGCAATGGCCAGTGAGATCTTCTAAGACATTAATTGGAACATGTCATTTTCTTGCTCACAACCCTTCAATGGCTTCTCAATACAAACTGAAATCCACACTTCTACCCATGGCCTTCACTGCTGGCATGGTCTCACTTCTGTTCACCTCTCCAGTGTTATCTCATGACAGTTTCAACCACAATCACTGTATTTCAGACACACTGGTCTTTAGGCTCCTTGAATACTTTTGAGGGTGGGGAACCTGAAGCTTTGATGGCCATATGTGGCCTTCTGGATTCTTGAAGGTAGCCTTTTGACTGAATCCAAATTTCACAGAACAAATCCTTTTATTGGTGCAGAAGGGAAGGGTGAATCTTTTCTTGCCTCTTTTGGTACTTAAAAAAGAACGATCTTTAATTCAGAAGTGTACAGGTTCCCCACTCTTCCCTGCCTGGGGCCTTTTGAACTTTCTTTTCTCTCTGCCTGGAAAACACGCTCTTCCCCAGTGTCATTACATGGATGGCACCATTTCATCTTTCAAGGCTGAGCTGACATGTTACTTCCTCAGAGAGGCCTTCCTGGCTACTCAACCTATATAAACCACTTACGTTCTATCTCAGCCCTTTGTATATTTTCTGCTTAGGAATTACGTTGTTTGTATCTCAGCATCTATTTGCTCATTTATTACTGTCTTCTTTAGTAGAATGTGAGCTCTTTAATAGCAAAGGACACATATTAGCTGCTATATATGCCATATACGGTTGTGTCAGTTATGTAACACACAAGGATGCCAGATCTAAGGGGATGCATTCACAACAATTTTCTGATATGAATTTTTTGATATGAAGACAATTAATGACAATTAATGACATGGTTGGGCATGGGGGAAGGGGAGATCAGACAGAGAAGGAGCAAGGGGGTGTGGGCAAAAAAAAATGACTAATTGTCACACAAACTGGATTTAATTTTGATCAACATACATTACTTAAACATCAATTTTTAATTCAACATGTCAATTTTATTTATCATACTGCATCCTTATTCATCAGTGAAATATGTCTGTAATTTCCCTTTTATAATAATACATTTTTTTCTAATTTTACTATCAGGGGTATCCAGACTAAGTAAAATGATCTTGAAGTATTTCTATTTCTACTGTCTATAAGACTTGGCAGGATCTGTTTTTTTTTTTTTTTTTAGAAATTATTTTTTACTTTTATTTATATATATATTAGTCATCTTTTTTTTTAGACTTTGGTAAAAACGTAATAAGGAAAAAAATTTGTTTGCTATTTGTATTTTGTCTTGTGTATTCTATAACAAACAGGTAGTAAATGATTATGTATTCAAACAAAAATTGCACAGCTCTTGTTAAAGCTATATTGATAGGTACTTTCTATTTTGGTTCTTGATACAATACTATCTTTCTTTTTCTAATATTATTTTGTAATTCTTTTTATATAGGAATATAATTGATTTTGTATAGTTATTTTGAAGTTAGCTATGTTGCTGAATTTTTCTATTGTTTTTGGTAACTTGCAAGTAACCTGGTAACTTGGAAGTAATGAAATTTGTATTTTTTTTTACAAACTATTGGGATTTTTAAGTTATCATAATTGTACTAGCTAGGATTTTCAACTTTATTAGGAGTGGTGGTAATGAGTACACTTATCTCATAATTGATTTGTAGATATGCTTTTGTCTCCTCCTAAAATTGATATATTTGTCCCAATGTTATCTTTAATGATTATGTCAATGTTGTGCCTATA